AAGAGCTTTCTCAGCATGACTGTTCACTGCCAGTTTAAGACACTCATTAGATGACTCACAAGATGTTCAAGTTTGTTGTTGGCTTGTTGTTTTTTTTTTGTTTGTTTTTTACTACTTTAACACAACAGGCATCATCATTTTGATACTTCTAAATAAAATCCTTACCACTTTGCATTTTCATTGCTCCTCAAAATGGTAATGATCCTCTGACCACTGTGGTAAAAGCTGTAAATACTTTCTTGAGGTAAATCCTAAACCACACATCATCTATGTGTGGCTTTTGTGCTGCTACATTAAATGAAATTGCTTTAGGATGTATTCCCCTACATGATTTGTAGGTGGAAAAATGTCTCTATTTTCATATTTAGGGTATTTTTCAGATCCCTACATCTATGACAGGACACAGTTAATTTCAGGTTAGTTTCGGATAACACTGCCTTCCATAAATAACCACAGATGGGAAAACTTCTATATCCATGGATGAAGGCCAAAACTATCTCCTCTGAGTGCACCATTTCCTCCTTCCCTCTAGCAATAAATATCCACTGCTTCCAGTTCCGGGCCTTCCAACTGAAAGTCTGAACAAAAAAGAAAAATACTGTGTAACGGTGTCCATAGATGAACTCATTTCCTGCCATACAGGCTTCCACAATGTTAGGGCCTCTTTAAGTATTATGAGTATTTTTTTCATACTCATAAGATTTGTATCCTGTGCCCAGCAGGCTGACATCTCTCCCCTGTTACTCTCTGAAACAATTGCACAAGCCCAGCTTCCCCTAAATCATGTTTCATTCCAAATGCTACCACCGGGTTTGAACTTACCCTAAACGTTGCTGTATGAATTTTACAGGAGATGCAGGTGTGTATAGGTACACATCTTAATGCTTACTGGCATTCAGATTTTTATTACTTCGTCTTCAGCTCAGCAATTCTTCCAAAGCTGTGAACAGCCTTTAGTTAGAAAACACTCAGATAGAAGCGAAATTTTCAGGAACCTCAGAGACCATTAGATCCCACTTATCTACCCCACAGAAAGGCAAACTAACTCAAACTGCTCCTGAGTGATCTCTGACAAACCCATTCTTAAAGGAAAAATATAAAAAAGAAAGTAAAACAGTAAAATCACCTCTTTATTAACCTGAATTTAACAGTGACTGTTTGCCATGGAGTTCCTCTAGATCTGATGAGCTTCAAGCCTTTATAATCTCCCTGCTGAACCTTTGTTTAAGTTTGTAGGAAAACCTGCCATCTCTGATGGGTATCTTAACATCTGCAGTTGGTCTGTTCGAATTTCCCATACAAAACAAATACAAAATTTAGTTTTCAGAAGACATCATCTCTTTACTAAGAGATTTCAAACTTGTCACGGGAAAATAAAAAAACTGAGCATGATAAGTCTGATGAATTCTTCCAACTGTAACATGTTTTCATTAATTTCCCATTTACTTTTAATGAATCCTTTATAAAAATTTTTTATCAGAAAATTAGGGAGCTTTAGGTTTCAAAGAGAGCCATCAGCATACTTGTGGTTCATCAGGAAAAGAATTTCAAAAAAAGGTACGTTTTATCTGCAGCATATTCTCAATGTTTTAGAAATGGAGTACAGAAGAGGTGGCTCATCTATATCTTCAATCCTGTTACATATTTTCATACGTAACTGCAACACAAGGCAAGCTTGAGAAGTTACTATCTTCCTGAAGTGAAGATTTCATTTTCTTTTAGGCGACAATAATACATGCTTCAGAGATCTGTACCGTTTTTGTGAGTTTCTCAAAGGAAATTCACCACCACTGTACTCTCAAAAAATTAGTAGGTAAATTACCATTATATTGCTACCCTATACTTCACAATAATTGTAACTTTAAGCTTGTTCATCTTCCCTTTGGAGATATGGAAGGGTTAACCTCCCAACCGCAGAAGCTGCAGTGTGACTGTCCTTGCTTCACAGTAGGGAAGTGACAGATTCCAGCAAAGAACAGAGGGGAAAAAACACAGCCAAGTAAGGAAAGCACTCTGGTCAGGCAAATACATTAGGCAAACCTCAGTGTCAGAAGCACAAAGACTGGAATGGCAGAAGCCAGCCTACAAAGTTAAAGCCTAGCTACTGTGAGGAATATTTTTCCTTGCACAAGCCATCACAAAAGTCTTCTCCATTAGAAATAATCCAATTCAAACATTAAGAAAAAAGGAGTCCTTGTTAATGTTACAAAATCTTTCAATTTAAGGCTAGATAATTGTCCATCTTCATACAAAACAATCAAAGAAAAGATCCAACATTGATATTATTCTCTGCTTTACTATTACCAAGGTCTTGTTATAGTAAAGATTAATGAAGTCAGATGAATATCTAAAACTTATTCTGTAGACTCCCTTTCCATTGTACTGATCAAAATTAAAAACAAGAGTTTGTCGTAGATCACTGGTTTCATGATTATTTCTTACTACCCATATTAAATACCTCAATGGAAGGCAAAATTTTCCCACAGAGAACATCACATTCCCTAATAACCTAATAAAAGGATACAGCTTTTATACATGCATGTTTTATACATTTTATACACTTGTATTTCAACATAAATTCCATATTAAACAGGAGACACAACCTAAACCCACTGCCTCTCATAAAAGGGAAAAAAATCTGTATTCCTTCAGAGATAAAAGGGAGGGAGCAGGCAGGGAGGGAACCCTGAGAATCACAAGAGCTACATTTATAAGATGCAGCCATTTACAAAGTGCCTTTTTTTTTTTTTTTTTAAATGGTTGCCTTTCAAGCTTTGCCAACAATAGGATGAATATAAAAGATCTGCCTCCCTAGCAGATTTAGAAGAATAAGCAATTACCACATTAGAGAAAATAGGCTCAGAAATTTCCACCGATTGGTAATTGGCAGCAAAGCAACTCTTTATTTGCCAAACTCCACAAAGCCCTTGGGCACCAAACTCTACATATACCAGCAATGAACAAAGAAAGATGAAAAAAAATCCCAACAGGGCTCAGCCTTCAGGAAAACAACAACAAAAACCTCCAGAAGTCTCTATCCTCCAAGAGAAGCAGAAGGACACTCTTATTATCAGGGTGTCTGAAGTCCTGGGTAGAAGACCTGTACCACACAATCCTCCAAAATCACAATTACATTGTGGTTGTACAAGGAAAAGCTCCTTCCTGAAGCCTAGCTGGAAGAGCAGAAGTCCTTTCTTCCACACATGTGTAGGTTTCAACATTTATGCACTGGCACCACTGAAACATTTTACACCGACATGAGTATTACAGAGCAGCTACTCAGTGTGAGTACTGCAGGCTGCTCACAGTGAGAACTAGGGATTTCTCTATTCCGAGAAGACAGCCATCATCCACCATGGGTGACATTAATGTGTACGCAACATATGTGAAATTTAATGTACGACTGCAAGTTAGTTAATTTTATTGCTCCCTGATGCACCACTGCAGCTACCACATAAATGCAGACGGGTGAGTTTCCACGGTATCAACAATTTAGTAGAAGAAGCAAATCTGAACTGAGACTCCAAATCTTAGCAGTTGCCTTTCCTGACTCTTCCCAAATCTTTTTTATCTACTTGCTGGAGAAAATTAAAATCTCCCTGTATAGGACAGTAACAGAAGAATTCTTGGGTAGAAGAGACTAATTTCTGTATTATAAATATCCTCAAAGCTATCTTATAATGAATTACATTTAACATGACTAAATCACATTTCAGGACTTTTAAAAAGAAAAGCACATTCCTAGAAAAGATTCTCTTGTAACAAATTTCATTTAAAATAAAAGTATTAAAACTAAAAAGCGTGTTATAGTGTCAAATATAGCAAATCAAGAGCCTCAGTGATGTATTTGCCTCATTGTACTTAATACCAGAGAACAGAAGTAGTTCTTTCCAAGCATTTGATTATGAAAGGCGTATCCATAGCACACAGAATATAACTCGAGAAAGACCTCATGTCCAGATAATAATAAGTGCACTTTTTCTATGATACATTTGCTAGGAACTTGCAACATAAAAATGTGTTCGTTAATGCACATTATGAAAAGCTTGAGAATAAAAATTCCCAACTCTCCTTATACAAAATCACAAGTTTTACAAGTAGTACATGCAAACATACAGGTATGCAGATGTGCAAAAATACCTTCTGAATGAGCAAGGATCCTAATATTTAGTCAACAATACCGTAGCCCAGGTATCAGATATCAAACATGATCTGCTTTGCAGCCCGTGCTGTTGAGGTCCTGCATGAGTGTCAAATAAAAGCATCAAGTATCGAAGTCCTGTACTGTGAAGAGCTGAGCCATTCACTTGAATGATCAACAGCCAATGTATTACTGACACTTCTATCCGGTGCAGCACAATATTCTTCTCTCCTTTGCATTTGTGTTACAATAAAAGACCTACTTTAACATTAATCCTGACAGCATGTTTTTGCAGGGGTAAACTAGAAGTAAAACCAAATTTCAAAGACATGAACGCTACCTCTGAGATACTAATTTCACATAAAATTATTGACCTTCGACCATCTCGGTTAGTATCTCCAGGATGACATTCCAATACCTTTGTTTCTTAAATACCAGTCTGTGGAAATGAAAGGGAAGGGGACAGCAGTATTTTTTTTTATATACCACTCAGCACCTCATAGTAGTCTGAAAATATGACTGCTTTTGAAAACACACGTGTATTTTAACAATTTACTTTCAAATGTTTCAAACTGTATTACTGAACATAATCAAAAAGCACTTGGTTTAGCATATGAACAGGTTTTGTTTTTTTCTTTTACTTAACCTGGTAAACTTCTGCAGTATAGACAATCTTAATTTTATTTTTTTAAGATGTTCATATCTGAATAGAAATTTCAAGAGTTGCAGTTTACTTAATTTTCCTTATTCAGAAGGAAGTAACACACATACAGTAACAAGAATTAAAGCTATAAAATCAAAGAAGCTTATTTAGATTAACTCATAATTATTGGATGTTCACAGCAATTTATTCTCCTACCTGCTTTCCATCCAGCGTACAGAGTCTCTTGACTACACCCGAATCTAACTTAATGGCTTCTGTGATGTCAGTCAAGACTTGTTCGAAGGAGTGAGCAGTCTTCTTATTCAGCAGAATTCTCACAGCTTTTCGTGGTTTTACTCCACTCCTAATAACAGTCACCAATTTGGGTTTAATGAAATCTTTACTCTCCTTCACTTCACTCTTTGTGGATGTCAAAGATGTCAAGGATCGAGTAGATCCAGTCCTTATGTTCACACACCAGTTTGGATTGACATTCTTGGTATAATCAACTTTGCGATATGGTTCATTGGATGCACATACATAACTTTCACCTGAAAAAAAGATGACATTTTCTTAATTAAAGAGGTTTTGCAGCTATTTTTGCCAATTTACAGCAATAATAAATTTGTCAGAAGCAGTGGCTTTCCTGCATTTCAACTGGAGGTCATTTTAACTAAAGGACAGTAAATTAGAAGAACTCTGTCCAAACAATAATCTCAGACAGTGGTGTCAACAGGTTTCAAAAGACTTCTGGTTAAATAATAAGATGCAGTAAAGGATAACAAAGAGGTTGACAATATTCCCCATTTCTTTTGGATCATAATTTCTGACTGCTAAGTCATTTTGCAAGTGATTAAATTATTTGAGCTCACAAGACATGACATTAAGGTTATTCTCGTACAGCAAACATGTGGGTCCTTCCCTATATGTTCCTCAAATACATACTTAAACATGTGTACATACACACACACACGCGCGCGCACCTGTTTAATAACAAGTTATTTTAAAAGTAGCAAGTTTTAAGAGAACAAAATTCAAGCATCTCAATGTCCTTGTCCTGAAAGACACATCTGTCTACCAGCAGTATGTATATACTGCCTTTCTACCAAAGATACACTGTTGAAATGTAGTCACTGCAACATTTTTACACCAACAGCACCTGCTGAGGCCACAAGACTACAGGACTAAGCGCAGACTTCCCCATTTTGATTTATTTCCTGGTTCAAAGCCTGCATCATTGCTACTATCACCTGAATAGGAAGAAAGGATGTGAGAGAAAAACATCAACAAAACACAGAACATGTTATTTATTACAGACTAGTAATACATACCCTTGCATCGAATTACCTAAAGAGAAACAACCAGGATGCAGATCTAAGGAGTCTTCTTACTACTTTTCTCCATCTCCTAACATAACACAAGGCTAGAGACTCTCCAGCTTTCTGAAGTGGAAGGTTTTCTTTCCAAACTGCCATTTCTTGTTTAGTACAACCCTTTCAATATCTGCCAGCAATATGCAGACCATGACAAAGAACACCTTTAATTCTGAATTTTTATTTTATTTTTTTTAACCTACACCTTTAGGGATTCACACAATGACTTCTAAAGGCTTTCTCAAAGAGGCAGAGCGTCGCTACAAGGCTGGAAGCACCGAATGATATGAACTTTCCACACTGGCCAGCACATCCTGCCTCTAGGCAGAAAAGCTAACTGTTGCTTAAAAACCTTATGCTTTTCTGAGAATAAAGCTTTGTGCTGAAGATTGCTGCTGAAATAAAACAACCTATAACATACTGCAACAAACATCCTATATATACACTGCAAAAGGAGCAAAGAGTGCTAACATCTGTTGGACACTACTGTAAAAGGTATAAAATGTACACCTATGTCTAGTTATACACTAATGGACTTTTAAGCAGTGCTTTTACTTTCAGGTCTGTTGTTTGGAGAGCTGATCTTTCTTAAAAGCTGTATAAGAGCAAGATAGCAAACTACTTTCAGACCCCTTAAGAATTACTGTAGTCTGAAAGATGTTTTCAGGCTCCTTTTTTCCCATACCAATTACTGCTGTCTAATTTATCAAGTGTTTAGACCTTCTTGAAAGTTTGTTTGCTGTATTTGAAAGAAAACAATGAAGTTGTTGTTCACTCAATGAATGAAGTTAAGTCAAGTTAACAAATGATTCTGTTCAAGAAAGTTTGGCAGCCAGTTCTGCTTCCACAAGCATCTGGGATGGTTCCCCTCTATGGTACAAGGAAACAATTTGGTGTGAGGTTTCACTGGTGCCACTGTCTTGCCTGTTTCCTTCGTCTTCACACATCCCCACCATTCCTCCTCCTATTCAAAGATACAGACAGACTCCTTCTCTTCTCCCCAGAAATGAGAAAGAAAAATAAATAAATAAATAAGCTGCTTTCAGCCCACAAGCTCCTTGAATGGAATATCCATATACCCATGCACCTGCATACTCACACCGGCGCTGCCCTACAGGTGGTGGGTGAACACAAAAAAAACAACAAAAACACCAATGCACAGCTCAGGAAAAAGTGTGGTGGCCTAGAAACTTACATTGCCACAGAACCACATAGTAAGTTGCAACAAGTCTGTAAGCAATCCAATTTAATCACTCTGGTTTTGAGCAAGACACTGGATTAGACGACCTCCAGAGGTCTCTTCCAAACTGCATTACCCTACCGTTCTAAATAGGTGGAGAGCTTCTTCCAGCAGCCTGAGCTTCCAAGAGACATTTCTCTACTCTGTCAGATGACACCAAGTTAGGTGCGTGTGTCGATCTGCTCGAGGGTAGGAAGGCTCTGCAGGAGGATCTGGATAGGCTGCACCGATGGGCTGAGGTCAACTGCATGAAGTTTAACAAGGCCAAGTGCCGGGTCCTGCACCTGGGGCACAATAACCCCAAGCAGAGCTACAGGCTGGGAGATGAGTGGTTGGAGAGCTGCCAGGCAGAGAAGGACCTGGGAGTGATGGTGGACAGTCGGCTGAATATGAGCCAGCAGTGTGCTCAGGTGGCCAAGAAGGCCAACGGCATCCTGGCTTGTATCAGAAACAGCGTGACCAGCAGGGCTAGGGAGGTGATCGTCCCCCTGTACTCGGCTCTGGTGAGGCCGCACCTCGAGTACTGTGTTCAGTTTTGGGCCCCTCGCTACAAGAAGGACATCGAGGTGCTTGAGCGGGTCCAAAGAAGGGCGACGAAGCTGGTGAGGGGCCTGGAGAACAAGTCCTACGAGGAGCGGCTGAGGGAGCTGGGCTTGTTCAGCCTGGAGAAGAGGAGGCTCAGGGGCGACCTTATCGCTCTCTACAGATACCTTAAAGGAGGCTGTAGAGAGGTGGGGGTTGGCCTGTTCTCCCACGTGCCTGGTGACAGGACAAGGGGGAACGGGCTAAAGTTGCGCCAGGGGAGTTTTAGGTTAGATGTTAGGAAGAATTTCTTTACTGAAAGGGTTGTGAAGCATTGGAACAGGCTGCCCAGGGAGGTGGTGGAGTCACCATCCCTGGAAGTCTTCAAAAGACGTTTAGATGTAGAGCTTAGGGATATGGTTTAGTGGGGACTGTTCTTGTTAGGTTAGAGGTTGGACTCGATGATCTTGAGGTCTCTTCCAACCTAGAAATTCTGTGATTCTGTGTGATTCTGTCCTGTTAGTGTGAAATAGCACTACATCCCTACAACCGCTAAGATTCAAAAGATTCCTGATTATTTTCAGAATAATTTCTAATGAGCCATGAAGCTGTCTAGCTCTAAACACGGTGCTGCCAAATAAGAAGTATCTCAAAGAAGCTGGTGGTTCTGATTCATGCCAATAGACTTATTAACATTATAACTGCTACGGAGTTACACAGACAACAGATGCAGTATGCCTTTGTTTTCCTTTAAGTCCCAAGATTTAATTTTTACAGACATCTATTTTTACTTTAAAGTCACTTAACAGGAACAGCCTCTTCACTGTTGCTGATGTAGAATCAAGATGCAAGTTGAGAACAGGATACCAGATTCTGAGTGACAGTATATATTGAATAATAAAAGAAAGCCTCAGAAATCATTTTATTCTCCTCTCTGTGACTAGTTTTTTGTGTGATACAGAACCCTCAGGATATGTTTTTCCAATGTTATATGCTGAACTTTTTGTGGATACATCTAGCAAGTGGCTTTGGGTTGTTTTGTGTTTGTTTGTTGCTGGTTTTTTTTGTGTGTGCGCACCTGCAGATTTTTAAGATATTTAAGAATGCTAATTATTATTTCCTCATACAAAAAAAAAAAAAAGGTACCTTATGTACCTAGTATTATGTACCTTATTCAAGATATATAATACTAGGTATTCAACTTTGGATTGTCCCCATCTCACTGATGTATAAAGAAATGAGAATATCCTGTGCATGAAGATATCTTTCTAAACACAGAAAGTGCCTCTAGCATCAATATTAGTTTTCAAATAAGCTTCAATACATGAAGTCACCTATTAAGTCAGAGTAACCTCTGAAGTACTGTAGAGCAGTGCATAAGGAGTTAAAGTGTAGCAATCAGTACCACAAAATACCTCAAAGCTCACCACCATTGAGAATGTTCAGAAACAAATCCTTTCAAACTAGAAAAGGATGAATATCCTCCACCATTCAAAAAAAAAATAAATCAAAAACACAAAACAAGGTACCTAACACCCAACAAATAAGCAGTTATTATTAGAACAGGAAAGCAGTAACAGCCTTTTCCTGTAACACCCTGATTCAAAATAACACTCTGCACTTTCATCTCAGCAATCACCATGTATTGAAGGCTAAAAACAAAACAAAACAAACAAAACCAAGAAATGCTTTCAAGATAATTCACATTTAAACCTCAGAGCTGAAGCTTAGATTAACAATGCTGGAAAACAAAATGATGAGTATTCAGAAACAGGATCTCCAACTCAAACTGTTATACGCAACTCGTAGAGGTAGAGAACAAGGAGACTCTCTGCTAGATTCACCAGAGAGGAACCTCAACAGCGTATTCTAATGTTGTCTTTTACAGACACACATATCCTAATAGAGTATCTTCCTAATGCTGTCACCGAACATGACCTACAACCTGTCAAATCATATTTCAACTCTCCTTTGAAAAGCAGAAATTCTTCTTTTATAAGATCTTCAGTCAGGACAGACTAAAAAAGATCTGTATTTATTTACAATAGTAGCGTAAAAACATCCTCGTTCCTACCGGTTCCTTTGCCTGAAGCATGTTTAAAATGAAATTTCCTGATGATCTGAACTTCAATACCCATTTATTACGGATTTCTTATTTCTTATACATTAAGCAGGTGTCTTAGTTTCCTTCTTTAGATGAGAAAAAAAGAAAGTGCTTTTAATTAAAAATAATGCAACACCTTAATAGAATTAATTTCAGATAACTCCTTTCAGCTGCATTTAACCAAACCTCAATAGGAAGTACAAACTGTGTTAGTTTCTCAAAAAGCATATCTGGCAAAAACAGTTTCCCATAACTGGCAGATAGGGGAACAGACTAACTACTTGAGAATTGCAATGACCAATCTGTCATTTG